GATTTCGAATCGCCGACAGGCGCGCCGCTGGACTGCCTCGGCATGCGCGCGTGGAGACGTCCTGGGCCAAGGGGCCGGGTTGCGGGGGGTGATTTTGGCGCTGTGCGCGGGCTTTCAGGGGGGGGGCACTCCTGGGATCTCTGCGCAGCCCCGGAGAAGCGCGCGGGCGCCGCGGACGTCCCGGTCTCCGCAGCCCACGGCCATCCGCGGGCAATGCGTGGAGGTTATCTCGCCGCCTGGACCCTGGCCCTTGAAGCCGTGTTCCCCCTCCGAGCCATCGTCGTGGCCGTGGGCGAATTGTTCATCCTGGCAGACGTCGTAGCTCGGGCCAAGTTTGATAACGCGGCTTGTGCCCCTTCTGTGGGCGTCATCGGCGCTGGCCCGGGCCTGCGCCCAGCCGGGCATGCGAGGCAATCCCGGCCTACGTCGGGAGGGGGATCTTGCGCAGCCAAGGACTTTGGCCCGCCCCCCCCCCTGGGCTGCCGTCAGGCGTTGCCCTGCCGCCGTGGACTCGCGACGGAGACGCCCGCTTCCGCCCTGGGCTAATTCTGGCGGAGCGTGTATGCGTCGGGCGCTTCCCGGGAACAAGACATGGCGTGCGCGGGCGCCCGGGCGCGGAGGGCGCGCTGGCTCAGATCCGCCAGGCGGAGTACCTCATCGGGGTGGGCGCTACTCGGCACCGCGCCATATGTTGGTGTTCGAGGCCACCTGCTCCGCGAAAGCTATCCCCGGAGGGGTTGGAAATAGGGATCTGGCCGAGGGAGACAGCATTGGACCCCGGCGCAACCGTCCCAGGGCCGACCCCGGTGGGCCGGTGGGCGGCCTCGTGAACGCACGGGCAGACACCCCCCTGGGCAGCTCCCCTCTGCGCCAGTTCTGCCCGGCCGACCTGCTGCGCGCCGGGGCGACGCAGCCCGCGTCAGCGCGCGGGGCGGGCGCCAGGGGGGCTTCTTTTCGTCCTGGAACCAGATCGTGTGCCTGTTCGACGGACGACCCGCGTCCGCCCCCAGATTTACCTAGTGTCCCGGCCAAGTGGCCCCTGGGATGTTCGCCCGCGGGCCAGACGGCGCGGACCTCAGACAGGGGTGGGCCCAATGCGCTGGATGGTTCCGTTTCCGTACGTTGGAGTGATGTTCCGCGGCAGACATTGGAATGCCGCTTGATTCTGCCGCATCTGCGTCGTCGAGGTCTACGACGCGGCCCCCTCCGACTGCGACGAGATTAGGTGGGTGGCTTTCGTGTTCCGCCAGAAAGGTGAGAAGCCGGTGCGTCCAGTCATGAGCGCGACCGGGCGGGCCAGACGCCCTCGTCTGGGCCGCGTCGTCCCAGGAGTTCCAGCAGTTGCGCCTGCGCTTAGTTACCCAGCGCTGGCAGGTGACCGAGGCGGCCAGCAAAGCCGATCCCGTGAACGCTGCCGCGATTGCGCCTCAGCGCGCAGCCACTGGGCGGCGGTCCAGACGCGCCCTCTGTGGGGGCCAGCGGGCCAGGTGAGCCGCCGCCAAGTCCTCGCTACCCTGGGCCCCTCGCTGTCAAGAGACGGGCGGTCTTCCTTGCCGACAGTGGGCACCCCCCCGAAGGAGCTGGGGCCGAGCCGGAGAGCCTTGGTGCGGGCGCAGGCAAGGGAGGAGGGCCGCTGCGCTAGATCCCGCCCCCCTAACCGTGCCCATGTCCCGAGCTGCCCAGTAAGCTAGTAAACCTGGGGGCCGCGGGCCTGTCCTTCGCGAAGTTACCGGGCGTCGTGTCCGACAGATGAGTTTCGAGACGGACCACTCCCGGTAACGTTCTGCGTATCCCACCCCCAGGCAAACGTGTCCTACAGCGTGGACTGCAGACGAGAATAATTTGCTGCGGGACTTCGTCGATCGCGTCTGTCCGTCCGGGTGGAGACTCGCAGTCCCTTAGGTGGACAGCAAGATCTGAGTCTCGGGCCAGTGCGTGCTCGGGCACCTCGTAACCTTGTTTATTCACGGCGGGCGCTAGCGCAGACTGTGCCGACTTCTATTCCCAGCTCAGCGCGCACAGCATCTCGCATCCATGTTTCTTGCGCCAACAGCGCCTGGCGGAGTTTGTGAAGTCGCAGGGCGCAGCTGCCTATGCGCCGGATCGCAGGGCAACGCGCGGGAAGCGCCGTGCGGCGCGCCGGTGTCGCTGGACGAGCGCCGCGCCGCGCCCGGGACCCCGCGCGCCGCGCCCATTGGCCATGGGCTGCGGCAGCTCGCCTGCTCCTTCAGGCTGGGCGCGGTCTCCGCGCCCCAGGATCTCCGTGCTGCATGTGAGCGTTGACCAAGAATGCAGTTTGCGCGCGGACCTGGCAGCCCGATGGCGCTGTTGGGTGGAAGGGCGTGCGTCGCCGAGCGTTTCCCAGTGTCTGGCTCGCCTGGGTCCTTAGGCATGGCCGCAAGCGGAGTGCGACGGTTTCCTCCTTCTGTTCGGGAGCCGCGCCCCTTTGCGCTGCCATGCGGTCGGGCGCTCGCGTCGCAGCAAGGGCGCGCGGACTCGACCCCCATCCGGAGGACATGCGGCTGGGAGGGCCCCTCGCCGACTGCCTCCCGCGGGGCCCGTGGCTCTCCGGCGCGCCTGAGAGCCCGAGCGCCCCGCCCCTGGCCGACGCCGTCCCTGGCCCCTGTCGGCTGGCGCAATGGCGCCTCCGTCGCTTCCCCACTTGTCGCCGTCGAGCCGGCTAACGGGCGCCCCATCGAGTAGGTGCCCCCCCGGCCCGACTACCAGGATGGCGCCGCCCCCGTCTTTGCCGGGGTCAGTGCCCCAGACGGCGCTGCCGGCAATCGGCCCACGCGCTGCTCCTGATCCAGAGTGCCCGCGGCGGTGTGCAGACGAGCTTGCGTGTAAGCAGGAATCGCGGGAGGGGTCCGCAGCCGGGCCCCCGGGCGACAGCGCCGCGCCAGCAAAAGCGCGACTCACCCGCTGGACGAGCCATGCGCGCAACTTGAGTTCTCCAAGGCAGAGCCCGCGACGGCAATTGAAGAGATCGCGGCAGAGCCCGAAGCCCGAGAAACCAGATTGGAGTCCGTAGTCTGAAGGCCGACGATCGACCAGACGGATGGCTTCTCCATCTCTGGCCTCCGACGACGAGTCCAGGGCCGACCCGGATTTCCTTGGCCCAGCTTCCCTGCCCGAGGCGCCGGCGGATGCTTCCGGCCGCGGCCTGCCCTGAGGGCGAGACGTCGCTCTATTCAGCGCGAGGGATTCTTGGCAGGGATTGTGCAGCTGGGGAGGCGGCGGGGGATGGTGGTCTCGAGACGATTGGTCAACGCCAGCTCCTCACTCCGTCCGCGATGAGTGGTGGGGGCGCCTCGGCGCGCCCGTTCTGTGCAGGAGGTTCTCTCGCGCCATCGGGTGAGGGCGCAGGGGGGGGGGTCTTCCGCCGCTGCGACCGAGCGCCTCCAATCCGAAGCTGGCGCGCTTGCTGCCGGCAGCGGGGCCCGCGCCCAAGGCCGCCGCCGCCCGGCCAACTCGGCCCTGGGCCCTTTCTGCAGGATCCCTGACGACGCCGACAGGTTCCTGGGCGACCTGGCTGGCGCGCGCCAGGGCGTTGCGCGGTGGGCGAGGCAACGGGGGATTCAGGTTGATTGGGAAGCTGCGCGGATGACAGCGGAGGACAGGGCCCGACAAAAGGATCGCAGATCTGGCAGAGGACCCGAGGAGGGCGCTGCCACCGGTGTCCGCGGCGACGAGCAACGGCCAATCTGGGGCAGGAACGCGATGGGGCCGCTGCGATTCGCTAGCCGTGTCGCGCCGCCGCGCATCCCGCGGGGCCCTCCTGGGCAGGGCTGGGCGTCTGATCCTATATGTGGGCCCTGCCCCCCTGGCCCGGTCCAGGCGCTTCCTTCCGCGGCGCGCCGCCCAGGCCCTCTTGTTGCGCCCTGGTCTGTGGCCGCGCTGCTTTGGCGTCTTGCATGCTGGCGTCTGCGCGGTCTTTTCCCGCGCTGTTTAGTTTTTTTTTTTTTGCCCCCCCTGGTCACTTGGGTTTTGTTTCGACGGTGTTCCGGCTCTTTGCCCTCGCCTCTCCCCCCTGTGCGTTTCGCCGGGCCCTCGCCCGACTCTTGCCCGCTCCTGCTTCCCTCCTCTCGCTCGTCTTCCCCCCCTCCCCCCCGCTGGCGCCGCCATGGCAACCGCGGCCGACCAGCCTTCTGGCCGCGGCCTGTGAGCTGCCTTCGCTGCGCGGCTATGCCCAGCGCTGGGCTCAGGGTAATGCTTTTCGGCCAGGTCGTCGGCACTGTCCTTGTTCTTTCCCGTCTCTTGACCCCCTTGCGTCGTTCTTTGGCCTGGTCGCCTAAATTCGCGGCCCGTCTACCTGGTTGTCGTTCGCCGCCCACTGCCCGCGCGGTTGTCGTGCTGCAAGCTTCCCGTGTTTGCTCGTCGCGTTGGCCTTTCTGAGTGGTTTCCAAGGCGGGCGCTCATAATTCGACTTGCTTCGGATTGACGTCGATGTTCGTTCCTTTATGCTTGCCGGGCTTCCCCGCGGCTTCCTGTGCGGCCCCGCCCTCATGGTCGCTTCGGACTTCGCGATCTTGCACCTCGTCACGCGCACGAAGACTTGCATGGCCTGAGTGGCTCCGTCACTCTTCCGGCCTTTCCAGCGATCCCGCTTCGCGCGCCCTTCTTCCCCGTGCCTCGTTGGGCCCCGGCGCGCTCCGCCGCTGCTGGTCAGCCGTTTGATTTTCTTTGCGGCCGCTGATGAAACAAGTTCCCCCATCTCTGGGCCCAGAAGGGCGTCTAGACCCTCCTGGCCTCGGCTGGGAAGGCAGCAGTATGTTTTTTTTCTCCGCTCTGCCTTTGGTCCCATTTTCGACGATCTTCCTTCGATGCTGCGCTGTAAGCATTTTGACCCGAAGACTACCCAGGGGGCGAAACCCGTTGCCTTTTCTCCTGGGTACAATTCCGAAATAGCGCGCGCACCCGTGCCAAGGCCCAAAAGTGTCCAGGCCAGGCATGGGGTTGTATTGATGCCGTCCGCGTGAAGCAGCATTGCATGACCCCAGGACGCCCCAGCGCGGCGGCGGACAGCCAGCTGCACCCGCAGCTGGCCGCCATGCTGACCGCGGGCAAGTTCTGCCGGACGCGCCCATTTGATGCCACGGAGGGCCCGTGCACGAGGTGCTCGAATTGGACCGCAGCGAGGGGGAACGCATCCTCTCGAAAAACAGAGCATGGCATCAACGTGACGTTTCGGATGTCCGTGCAGATTTCTTGGATCTACGCTGGTGCCTTTTGGGGGCGCCTACAGCTCCGCTCCTGGCGCGCTCCGCGCCAGGGGGGGCCCAGCCTCGGTCCCAAAAATCTTCGCATATTTATGCTGGTTTTTGATTCTCTACGCACAGACTTCGGCTGGTTTTTGGAAGTATGTCTTGGTTGCGAGTATTTTCTCGCCCCAGGATGACTACGAGCAGCTGCGGAATGCCGAGAGTGTTTTGGGGTACCCGATTCGCCCCGAAAGGCCGCTGGAGGCCCGAGTATTGGCCCCCAAACCAATCCTCCAGCGTGTTGAGCAAATCCAGCACGATTTTTCATTAGTTTTTGAACTTTGGTTGCCGTCGGAGGGCCCCGACACGGTCGAAAAAACGGTTCAGGATCGAAGCGCCATCTCCAGGGAAAGTGTTGGGACTTCTGGGGGGCCCTGTTCTGCAAAGGTCAATGTCGGATATGTGGGTTGGATCCGCAGACGATCGTGCCTGGCCAGGGCTGTCCTGGGCCCCCAGATGGTGCGCAGACTCTTTTGGCTTCTGCTGGGAGGGCGTTTGCACCAGGGCATGGGTGCCTTGTTGCGTATTGGACGGCAGTGTGGGTCCCCCCTCCAATCCTCTCCTCCTCGAGACGCGGGCGAGGTTAGGCCTGGAGACCCTCGTTCTCAAGGCGCCCGTTTTGCGCCCGATCGCAGGGGCTCGCAGGTGCTTCGCGCGTGATCGAAGTGCCCCCCTCAGCGCAGGGCCCAGAGTCCAGAGTCTGCGGCGAGAGCACCGGGACAACAGCGCCCTGCGCTGCGCGCGGCTCGGCGCGCAAAGTTGGGCGGCCTGCTCCCTTCCCTGAGATGTCTGGCCGGTGGCCCCTGGAGGTCTCCCCCGATGCCGCCGGCGCCCCCGAAGGTCCCAAGAGTCTCAGACCGCTTGCGAGCTCCACCTCGATGCCACCCGGCACAGCGGCCGGTTCCAGTCCCCTCCCCGCCCATGCGCACGCTGAAGACCTCTCCGAAATGAGCGATTGCCCGCCCCCCCCTTCCTCTCTTCCGCCCTGGGGCATTTCTGTCAAGGGGGGCTCAAATGAGCCCCTGGCAAGGGTGGATGGTTGGGGCCTGGTGGGTTTTCGTTCGCTGGGCAGGGCGGGTTATAGTACTGCCGCAGCTGGTTCTAAGTTTCAGTTTCCACACTTGCGGTCCGTCCAACCATGGAGGGACCCCAGACGGCCCTGCCGAGTCGATCCGATCCTCTCTCCGTTCCCCCTCGGGGCCTTCCAGCCTTCACGCCCCCCGACGGAGGACGGCACGTTCCTGCACCCGCCCTGCGACCCCCCCCCGTCCTCTTCCGCGCTTAAATGAACAGCTCGGAGCACCCCCACGGCATGGGTGCAGTGGACGCCTGATGGCCCTTCCCGCCCAGGAACTGGCGGTTTCGCCATCGTGAGCGCATCGCCGATTTACTTGCGATGTATCGCTCATTCCTGGTTGATATTTCCCCCCCTTGAGCTGCTCCCCTGGAAGTTTTCGGGCAATACGTCGGCTCTCCGGCGGCCGTTCGGGACTCTCCAGGCAGCCGTGGACGCCCTTCGGCGAGGCGCAGCCGCAGCTCCACCCATAGCCCCAGTTGGAGTGTCTGGATGGCGTCCGCGGCACACCCCTCTCGCTGATCGTGCCCCATACGTGGGGAGTTCCACATATCGCCCCAGTGAAGGTGCCCACACGGAGTCCTCGCGCCCATTCGGCGCACCCCTCCTTCGGATCGTGCCCCTTGTGGAGCTCCACCTATGGCCCAAGTGGAGGTGCACGCATGCTGTCGCTGCGCCCATATCGGCACATCGCTCACGAAGATTGCACCCCATAGAGAGCTCCACCTCTGGTCTCAGTGAAGGTGCTCGCATGGCGTCGCTGCGCCCATTCAGCACATCGCTCACGAGGATCGCGCCCCGGAGAGAGCTTTGCTTGTGGTCACATCAGGTTTGGTCCCTTCGCAAGGACGAATGCGAAGGCCTTGCTGTCGGTGCCGCCGACCCTGAAGCCGGGACCTTCCCCGGGAACCCCACTGGCGACCTCCTTGGCACCAGCAGGGACCCCCCTTGAGGGGGGCGGTATTTTGACCCGGGACCCCCCCCTCACCCTTCTGACCCGGGACCATCCCCCCCTCCTTCCCCCCCCCACCCAGCAGGGACGGAATAAAGGGAAGGGACTGGACTGAACTACGACGTTCCTTGTCCTTAACCCTCCATTTCTTCGGGACTGACGACGACGAAGATGACGACGACGACTCCAACGGAAAAGCGTCTTACACATGCCGAAGGGTTTGCGGATCTACATGCCGCGCCCCCCAAAGTCTGGACCCTTTCCCAAGGGCTGGATTTTGATCTCGAGTTGTGTTTTTCACGGTCCCAGTCCCAGCGAGGGCCTCCAAAGGCCGAGCAACTCAAACTTTCCATATAGTTTCTCCCCAAACCCTTCAGTGTTGTTGGGACCTCGTTTTGACTCTGCAGCGCCGCGCCTGACTTTCCTGTCTCCCTCCTCCTCCCCTTCCAGCCCTGTGCCTTTTTAAATACCAGTCACACTTTCGGCGCCCCCATTGGGAGACCCACCTGCGGCCATAGTGGGCGCCCACGTATGCCGCCCCGCGCTCAGGAAGTTCCACCCACGGCCCCAGTGAGCGCGCGCGCGCGCATGCCCCCCCCGCCCAATTCGGGACATCACTCACACTTGTGGCCTCACAGGGAGCTGCACCTACGGCCAGAGTGGTCTTGCGTGCGTGCCGCCCCGCGGCCACGTCGGCACACTCTTCGCACGGAGCGCGCCCCGTAGGGGCCTGAGGTCCATGAATCCCACGGTGCGTAGCGTATGAGGAAGAGGCCACGCCCTGCGCTACACGGATCCGCATTGGCATGGTTTTCGCAAGGCTAGTTTGAGCTCAAGAGGCTTACGTACGCCATTCCGTGGGCCCCCAGAAGAGGAAATGTCCGGCTTCTGCTTTCGTATGCGTTGTTTTTTCCGCGTCCCGTCGTGCTGCTTCCGCAGTAGGTGTTTCTGGCTTGTCCCTCTCTTCCTCCGCGTCTGCTGTGGGGGCTTCTTGGGGGCCTCTTGGTGGCCTCGGGGGCGGCCTTTCGGGAGCCTTTTCAGAGCTCCTGGGTGCGTTTGGGATCCTCGGAGGGCTTCTTGGGAGCCTCTTGGGGGCATCGTGGGTGCATGGGACGGCTCCTGGGCTCGTGCGAGTTCCCTCTCTTGGGCCTCCCTGGCTCCTCTTTGGGCCCCCTGGAGGGGCTTTTGGCCGTCTTTTGGGCCTTTTGGGGGCAGTCTTGGGACCCTCTTGGGCAATCTGCGGGCCCTCTTGGGGGCCCCCTCGGTCGTCTTGGGCAAATCTGGCCCGCATCTCGGCAGTCTCGGGGTTCAGAATCGTTCGATGTGAAATTGCGAGTCCGTAGGAACATCAATGCTTGTTTGCTTCTTGGGCCTTCCTGTCTTCGGCGTCTTCCAGGCCTCTTGGGCCGTCCTGAGGTAATTTTGCATGTTGCGAAGACCGCTCTGACGCGTTGGAGCCCTTCTTGAGCCCTCTTAGAGGGCATTGTTGCATCTTGGAGGCCGCGGTGTGTGGATTTAGAGGCTCCGACGGCCAGGGAGATGCGCTATGGAGTGGTCGGCGGGTCAGAGAGTCGCGGAACTCGGAGCCAGAAAGGCAGCCAAGCGGAAGGAACACACGCACCTTTTGGCCATCGGCATGCGGTGTGTAAGATGAGAAGCTTGGGACGTCTTTGAGGTAGCTTTGCAGAATAGTAAAGGCCTGGGTGTATTCATTCAGTATCGTTTAACCGATCCCCATCCCCATGCTCATCCCCTTCGAGACCCCCACCAAATTACACCCCCAGTTGGGGATACACCCCTCGAAACCCGAAGAATACTGCCTATATTCCCATCTAGGGGGGTAAATCGGCCAGTGGGGCCCAGCCCACACTGGTGGGGATTCAGATCGGTTAAACGATACTCAGAGAGCAGCGGCGCAGCCGGCAGGAAACCCGTGCTGGCCTACCACTGCAGCACTTGCGGCTCGTGCGGCCTGTGGATGGATCACCACCAGGCGCTGGCCGCACAGTGCGTAGGCGCCGGAGTGGGCCGCCCCCGGCCCAGGGTCCGCAGACTGGCCTGGCAGGGCGAGGAGGAGGAGGAGGTGGATGCGGACGCGGACGCGGACGCGGACGATGATGATGATGATGATGATGATGATGATGATGATGATGATGATGATGATGATGATGATGATGATGATGATGATGAGGAGGAGGAGGAGGAGGAGGAGGATGATGATGATGATGATGATGATGATGATGATGATATTGATGATGACGTTGTTGATGATGATAATGACGACGATGATGATGCTGATGCTGATGATGATGATTATAATAATGACGATGACGATGCTGATGATGATGATGATGATGATGATGATGGTGATGATGATGGTGATGCTGGCGATGATGGTACGACGACGACGATGATGCTGCTGATAATGATGATGAGGAGGATTGTGATTCTGATGACGATGATGATGGTGGTGATGTTGCTGATGCTGTCTCTGATGGTAATGATGAGGCTCATGCTGATTATGATGCGGATGCTGACGTTTCTGATGAGGACGAGGACGATGCTGATGACGATCATTGTGATGCTGATGATGATGCTGCTGATGATGATGATTATTATTCTGATGCTAATGATGATGCTGGTGCTGATGCTGATGCTGATGCTGATGCTGATGATGATGATGATGATGATGATGATGATGATGATGGTGGTAGTGATGGTGGTGGTGGTGGTGGCCGTGGTGGTGGTGGTGATAATGAGGATGATGAGGATCATGGTGGTAGTGTTGGCGGTGGTGGTGGCCGTGGTCGTGGTGATGCTGCTGATCAGGATGATGATGATGACGATGATGATGATGATGATGATGATGATGGTGACGATGATGATGATCCTGATGATGATGATGATGATGATGATGCTGAGGATGACGATGATGATGACGATGCTGATTTTGATGATGATGTTGATGATAATGTTGATGATGATGATGATGATGATGATGATGATGATGATGATGATGATAATAATGACGACGATGATGATGCTGATGCTGAGGATGATTATTATAATAATGACGATGAGAATGCTGCTGCTGCTGATGATGATGATGATGACGATGGTCATGCTAACGATGATGGTACCACGACGACGATGATGCTTCTGCTGATAAGGATGATGAGGAGGATGGTGATTCTGATGACGATGCTGATGGTGGTGATGTTGCTGATGCTGCCTCTGATGATAATGATGAGGCTCATGCTGATAATTATGCGGTTGTTGATGTTTCTGATGAGGACGATGACGATGCTGATGACGATGATTGCGATGCTGATGATGCTGCTGCTGATGATGATGCTGTTGATGCTGCTGATGATGATGATGATGATGATGATGATGCTGATGCTGATGCTGATGTTGATGCTGCTGCTGATGATGGTGATGGTGATGGTGATGGTGATGGTGATGGTGATGAAGATGAAGCTGATGATGATGATGATGATGATGATGATGATGATGATGATGATGATGATGATGCTGCTGATCAGGATGATGATGCTGATGATGATGAGGCTGAGGCTGAGGCTGAGGATGAGGATGAGGATGAGGATGCTGATGCTGATGATGATGCTGATGCTGTTGTTGATGCTGATGCGGACGCGGATGCTGATGCTGCTGATGTATTCAGGAATCGCTCTCTCGGCGCTCTGGAGTCGCGCTCTCGCTTGAGTCTTGCATGCAATTTATTGAATCGCTTCGCTCATTCCGCCGGCCCGTGATATGGCATCGCTGGTTTTTGTCTGTGTGTTCGTTGCCCATGTTGCGCTCTTGGGGGCGGGTGTCGTTCGGACGCGTTGCGTGGGGAGTTTTGATGGTGAAGCAGTTCCCTGGGGGTCGTCTCTCGATGGGGCGAAATAGAGTCGTCGTCAAGATGCTTCTTTGGGGGGCCTCTTGGGGTCTGTTGAGAGGCCGTTCGGGGTCGCGCTCTCGCTTGAGTCTTGCATGCAATTCATTCAAGCATCGCGCTCATGCGTTGGAAAAACTTGCAGTTCACTCAAGCCCCGCGCTCCTGACACTCAGGCACCCAGGAATCGCGCTCGCGCTTGGGATTCTCTTACAGAATACTTAGGAATCGGGATCTCGGTGCCCTTCGTGGCCCTGTTGTAGCCCCTCGTGGCCCCCTCGCTGCCCTTCGTGGACCCGTTGCAGCCCTTCGTGGCCACCTCGCTGCCCTTCTTGGCCCCATATATGTAGTGGCGCCCGCTTGTTCGCGCGCGTCGTGGCCCCAGATGCATGCGCTTCGTGGCCCCGCTGTCGCCCTTCGTGGCCCCCTCGCTGTCCTATGTGGCCCCGTTGCTGCCGTCAGTGGCCCCGTGCTTGCCCAATATATGTATGTCCTTCGTGGCCCCCGCTTGTTCTTGCCCGTCGTGGCCCCATACGCATGCCCTTCGTGGCCCCGCCTTCGCCCTTCGTGGCCCCCTCGCTGTCCTATGTGGCCCCGTTGCTACCCTCAGTGGCCCCGTCGTTGCCATCTGTGGCCCCGCATTATCTGCCCTTCGTGGCCCCCGCTCGTTCGCGCACTTCGTGGCTCCATACGCATGTCCCACGTGGCCACCTGTCGCCCTTCGTGGCCCCCTTCCTGCCCTTCATGGCCCGGCTGTCGCTCTCGCTCTCACTCTCGTTTTCGTTTTCGCTTTCGCTCGTCGTCGTCGTCGTCGTCGTCGCCGTCGTCGTTGTCGTCGTCGTCGTCGTCGTCGTCGTCGTCGTCGTCGTCGTCGTTGTCGTGGTCGGTCCCCTGTCAGTCCCTCTTGGGGTCGGGTTGCCGCCGATCAGCGTTGTCGCTGGCCAGGCCGACGGTCCGCGGCCGCCCCGCCGCTTGCTGGGGCCCGGCCTGCAGGGAGGAAAAATATACCCCCCAAAAGGGGTACGATCGAAGACGAAGAGGGCTGGTATCGAGGGTTAGGGAAGTACATGTTGCATGGCACTCGGGCAGATAAGAGCGAACAGTGTTAACATGATTGTTGTTGTTGTTGTTGTTGTTGTTGTTGTTGTTGTTGTTGTTGTTGTTGTTGTTGTTGTTGTTGTTGTTGCTTGCTGCTGCTGCTGCTGCTGCTTGCTGTTGTTGTTGTTGTTGTTGTTGTTGTTGTTGTTGTTGTTGTTGTTGTTGTTGTTGTTATTGTTGTTATTGTTGTTGTTGTTGGTATTGTTGTTGTTGTTGCTGTTGTTGTTGTTGCTGTTGTCGTTGTCGTTGTCGTTGTTGTTGTTGTTGTTGTTGTTGTTGTTGTTGTTGTTGTTGTTGGTATTGTTGTTGTTGCTGCTGCTGTTGTTGTTGTTGTTGTTGTTGTTGTTGTTGTTGTTGTCGTCGTCGTCGTCGTCGTCGTCGTCGTCGTCGTCGTCGTCGTCGTCGTCGTCGTCGTCGTCGTTGTCGTTGTCGTTGTCGTTGTCGTTGTTGGTGTTGTTGTTGTTGTTGTTGTTGTTGTTGTTGTTGTTGTTGTTGTTGTTGTTGAATTCTCATTTCTGAAGAATAATTTCTGTTGATCCCCCCCACCGGTGCATACTGTTTTTCTCAATCAAAGTGTGCCCCTCGACGCTCGCACCCTGTTTTTTGATAGGGAAAGTCTTCCTGCTCAAACTGGGCCCTTGGCCCCCGGGTTACAACAACAACGGCTCCCGCTTGAAACTTCCTTGCAATTTAGGCAGGACCCCTGCTCCCGCCCGAGAGTTCCTCGCATTTTATTCAGGAATCGCGCTCTCGCTTGGGACTTCCTTACAATTTATGCAGGAATCGCTCTCCCAGAGCTCTGGAGTCGCGCTCTCGCTGGAGATTTGCTTGCAACTTACTGAAGAATAGCCTTGCGTTGGAATTTCTTGCAATTTGCCCAAGCGCCGCGCTCCCGACACCTAGGCACCCAGGAGTCGCGCCCGTTGTGGCCCCATGTGCGTGCCCCTCGTGGCCCCGCTGTCGCCATTTGTGCCCCCCTCATTGTCCTACGTGGCCCAGTTGCTACCCTCAGTGGCCCCGTCGTTGCCATCTGTGGCCCCGCATTATCTGCACTTCGTGGCCCCCGCTCGTTCGCACTCTTCGTGGCCCCATACGCATTCCCTTCGTGTCCCCGCTGTCGCCATTCATAGCCTACTTCGTGCCCTTCGTGGCCCTGCTGTCGTTCTCTCTCGCTCTCGCTTTCGCTCGTCGTCGCCGTCGTCGCCGTCGTTTTCGACGTCGTCGTCGTCGTCGTCGTCGTCGTCGTCGTCGTCGTGGTCGGTCTCCTGTCCGTCCCTCTTGGGGTCGGGTCGACGGTCCGCGGCCGCCCCGCCGATCAGCGCTGCCGCTGGCCAGGCCGACGGTCCGCGGCCGCCCCGCCGCTTGCCTGGGCCCGGCCTGCAGGGAAGAAAGGTATACCCCCCAAAAGGGGTTCGATCGAAGACGAAGACGGCGGGTACCGAGGATTTGGGAAATACGCGTTATTGGACATTCGAGCATATAAGGGCGAACAAGCTTAAAATGATTGTTGTTGTTGTTGTTGGTGGTGTTGTGGTTTTCTCGGAATTATCTTTCTTGAAGAACAGCCATTCTTGAGCCCCGCCCGCCAGTGCACATTGAGTTTAATCAATCGAAGTGCCCCCTCGGGGCTCGCACCTTGGTTTTTTATGAGGGGAAGTGTTCCTGTTAAAACTGTGCCCCTGCCCCCCCGGCTATGACAACAACGGCTCCCGCCTGATACTTCTCATAATGTATTCCAAAATCGCGTTTTCGCGTGGCACTTCCGCACAAGTTATGACTTCCTCGCATTTTTTCGAACGCCGCGCCTTCGACACTCAGGAATCCCGCTCTCGCTTTCGCCTTTCTCACGGTTTACTTGGGAATCGCGGTATCGCTCGAGGATTCCTCGCGATTCATGCAGGACTCACGCTTTAGCAACACGCCTGCTCGACCTGGAAGCCTGTGCCCGCCTTCCCGACCAGCCTGCTAGGGTCAGCCCGCCCAATCTGCCCATCTGGTTCTACAACGTACTTTCTGCT